TCCTGACACTGTAGATAGAAGACGTAATGAAGCTAGATGACATCTTCCACCACAAAAGTGCCCCCTTTCCTATGTTAGGAAGAGAAGAAGAGGGGCTGGCCTACCTTATCCAATCAAAAATTGAGCTGGATCAGGGTTGGGCTACAGTTTCATTAAAACTCAGTACACCTCTGCTTTCTCCCTGTTCCTTGGGCATAGCCCTCCTGAGTTTTTGGTTAAGAGCCTGGAAAGTCTCTGTCTCCTCATGCCTGAAAGTTTTGGTCTTAGGACATTTTGAACTTCAATTTTTAACTTACCACACCACAGAGGTTCAAAATCCGGCAAATGTCTTGACAAAGAGATTGCCTGTGTGTTGCAGGTCCCTTTCCACTAGTGGGATTTTGGTCCTCAGCACTGCAAGATCGCAGGAGATTTCATTCTGCCTTTTTGAGTGGCCTCCTGTACTTCCTGAGAACTCAGTAAATGTCCCATGAGGCAAAGTGACTTTGCATTTGGGCCTTGAGCTTGGGCCTCCTCTAGTTTCCAATCCATCACATTGGCCCCAAATGATCGCCAAAAGGTCTGCTAGTTTCAGTTTCCCCCAGGATAATCCCTGTGCTTAGGGCCAGCCTGATCCTCAGCATTTAATTACCCCCAGAAAAGACAATGGCTGGTGGTCACCTAGGAAGGAATCTTCCCTCTTTGGAATTTTAGTCCATCTAGTCCTCATCACTGTCTGATGTCTTTAAAAATATGAGTATTACAACATCAAATTTTTTTTAGCTGTAATGGAGTGTTGTCTGTTGTGACCTATCATATCCTACCCAGAAGAAGAAGTCCTATTTGCAAAATGTGAAAGAAATCTAGCATTCATAGTCCTGCAACAGACAAAATTTGGGAATAGATTTAATATGAGGCACGAGGAAGAAGGAAATATCAGGCATGACTCCTAGGTTTCTGGGTAGGAACTGGACAGATGGTGGTGTAATTCACTAAGGGATCACAATGATCTGACATAGACAGGCGGAAAATCATGGCAGCTGTTTAATATAGAATGGTTCATAGGTTTCTACCTTTAGGAAGTGAAATAAGGCAGTGCAATTCACTAAAATGGGGACCACTGGAAGGGAATCCAATTTTAAGGGCAAGATTGTGAGTTTGGTTTTTGATGTGTTGAATTTTAAGTATCTTTGAGACTTTAAGTAGTCAGGTGGATTTAACGATTTGAGTCTCAGAGGAGAAGTGAGGGCTGGAGATATAATTTTGAGGGTAATCAGCATATAGGAGGTAGTTGATGACATGGGTGTGAATGAGGCTGCATCGGTTGGGAATACAGAGTGAAAAAGAGAGAGAGGCTAGGCTGGAGTCTTGAGGAACGCCAATATTAAATGACCAGGCAAATCCTCTTCTTTGATTTATATTTCTTTCAGTGCACCAAAATGTCAAATGATTCTCATGAATTATTCCTTTTTGCTGGTTAGTACGGTATATCAGCTATCTTTGGAAAACTCTGCCTATTATCCAAAGTTTTCATTGGCAGTTCTCCATCATTTCTGGAAATTCTGTAAAAGGAATCCACAGACCTTCAGAGCTTCACACACTATTTTTCAAACTGCAGGTCATGATGCAATGGGTCGTGAAATCAATTTAGCTGGTCCTGATGAGTACTTTCTAAATGAGGTAAGTAGGAGGGAAAATACAAAGTACATCAGATGCAGTAGGCATCTACACTGTCTTCCTTGGTGAACTTAACCAGTTTCATGGCTCAAAATGCCATGTACAACTCCCAGATTTACATCTCTAGCCCAGGCCTTTCTCTTGAACTCCACGCCCACTTGGACATCTCCACTCGGACGTCTCATAGATATCTCAAACTGAAATATGAACCCCAGATCTTCCTTCGTCAAATAGCTCCTTCTGCAGCCTTCCCAAGTGACGGTAATTTCATCCTTCTACCTTTGGCCCTTTAGGCCTAAATCCCTAGAGTCATGTTTTACTTCTCTCATTTTCTTTTTTTTTTTTTTTTTAAAGATTTTATTTATTCATTTTTTCCCCCCAAAGCCCCAGCAGATAGCTGTATGTCGTAGGTTCACATCCTTCTAGTCGCTGTACGTGGGACTCGGCCTCGGGTTGGACGGAGATGTGGTGCCTCGGGGCGCGCCCGGGATCCGAACCCGGGCCGCCAGCATCAGAGCGCGCGCACTTAACCGCCAAGCCACGGAGCCGGCCCAACTTCTCTCATTTTCTAACACACCACATCCCATCCATCAGGAAATGCTATTAAGTCTATCATCAGAATCCAACCACTTCTCATCACTCCCCCACTACTACCACCCTGGTCCAAGTTACCATCACCTCCTCTCTCACCTGCATTCAAGCAGTAGCCTCCCAATAGGTCTCTTTATTTCCACTCTTGCTCCAGCTATAGTCTATCATCACCACAGTGGTCAGGGCAATCCTTTAAAACAGGGGTCAGCAAATGTTCTGTAGAAAGCCAGAGAGTAAATATTTAGGCTTTGTGGGCTAAGAAGTAAAATCGAGGCTATTACATAGGTACTTCTATAAAAAATAAGAAAACACATTTGTAAAAACTTTTTATTGACAAAATTCAAAATATAATAATAATTGAGTATAATATTTTTATAATACAGGTCTACTAATGAGAAAAACGGAATTCTTTTTTTTAAAAAATAGATATCAATTTGCTTAACTGGAGTTCAAAGCCAGTGTTCCCTAACATCAAATCAACCACAAACGTTTCTCTGTAAAAACCATTCTTAGCTGATGGCCATACAAAAACAGGCAGTGGATGGATTTACTACACAGGCTGTAGTTTGCTGACCTCTGCTTTAAAAGATAATCAGATCATATCACTCTTCTCTTAAAACCCTGTGAATTAGTTTTCTATTGTTACGTAACAAATCAGCACAAATTCAGCAGGTTAAAACAACACCCATTGACTATCCTCACAGTTCTGTAGATCAGAAGTCCAGGCAGGCTTGACTGGGTTCTCTGCTTAGGGTCTCACAAGGCTAATCAAGGTGACCACTTACACGGAGGATCTGGGAAAGAATCCTCTTTTAAGCTCATTCAGGATGTTGACAGAAGCCAGTTCTTTGTAACTGTGGGTCTGAGGTCCCCATCTCCTTGTTGGCTATTAGCCAGAAAGCACTCTCAGCTTCTAGAGGCTGCCTGCATTCTTGTCATGTGGTCCCCTCCGTCTTTAAAGTCAGCAAAAGCACATTCAAATCTCCTGCTTTGAATCTCTCTGATTTCCCTTTCCACTACCAGCTGGAAAAAATTCTCTGCTTTTAAAGGTCTCATCAGACTGGGTTAGGCCCACCCAGATAACTGTATCTCAAGGTCAATTTATTTGGGATTTTCATTACATCTGCAAAATCCCTTCACAGCAGCACTTAGGTTAATGTTAGATTGAATAACCAGGGGACAAGAATGCCGTGGGCCACCTTTAGAAATCTGCCTACGATACCTTGCAATAACTTCCTCCTCAGAGTAAAAAGACAAGGCACTTACAAGGGCCAACACGATTTGTGCCACCTGCTTTCCCCGAGCCCCTGTGCATGTCCTATTACCTCTCTGATGTTATTTCCCTCTACTCTCCCTCTGGCTTACTCTGTTCATCCACACTAGCCTTCCTGCTGTTCTTGAACATGCCAGGCACTCTCCCACCTTAGGATCTCCACCTGGAATGCTCTTCTCTCAGATATCTACTTTGTTAACGCCTGTATCTCCAAGACTTAGCTTAACTGTCACTTTTTCAATGAGGCCTATCGGACCAGACTATTTAATACTACAACCCGCACTCTTGCTCTTAGCACTGTTTCCCCTACCCTGTTCTTTTTTTTCCTTCTGTACTTATCACCTTTAACACGTTATATACTTAACTTATTTATGATGTTTATTATCTGTTCCTCCTCGCTAGAATTAACCTCTCAAAGGTAAGGATCTTTGTCTATTTTTTGTTTACTAATGTATTTTTTTGTTCACTAAACATATAGCACAGTGGCTGGCACAAAATAGGTGATCAACAAAAATTTACTGAATGAAGTTTTGGGAAACTCCTGTTTCAGTTTTCTACATATGTATATGTGTACTAGGTTGTGATGCAAAGTGTATTTCTTACTGAGGAGTGTAGTCAAGAGAGTTTGAAAACTACTGGGATTAGACTATATGACCTCTAAGGTCCTGTCAAATTTGAGCGCTTATGAATTTCTACGTGCAGCTAATAAATCTCCGCTATATCCTTTGGGATATGGCAGGGCTCACAGCCTAGTGACTATAGCAAGGCATGATTATTGAAACATTGTACTGACACTGAAAAAGCTAAATAGCATCCCTACCTGTTCTATAACAGTAGGTTAGAAAACACTGATAATAGCAAGAACTGCTGAATGCCCCCAAATATAAAAATCTGAGCTTAATCCTTCCATTAAAAAGAGATATAACTTGGGGCCGGCCCGTGGTGTAGTGGTTAAGTGCGCGTGCTCCACTGCTGGCGGCCCGGGTTCAGATCCCAGGCGTGCACAGACGCATCGCTTGTCAGGCCATGCTGTGGTGGCATCCCACATAAAATGGAGGAAGATGGGCACAGATGTTAGCTCAGTGCCAGTCTTCCTCAGCAAAAAGAAAAAAAAAAGAGGAGGATTGGCATGGATGTTAGCCCAGGGCTGATTCGCCTCACAAAAAAAAGAGATATAACTTGAAAGCAAATGACAAAAGAGAACATTTTGCAGATCAAAATTTCCCTGGTTAAAGCTTCCACTCATGGGGCCGGCCCCGTGGCTTGGCAGTTAAGTGCGCATGCTCTACTGCTGGTGGCCTGGGTTCAGATCCCGGGCGCGCACCGAGGTACCGCTTCTCCGGCCATGCTGAGGCCGTGTCCCACATACAGCAACTAGAAGGATGTGCAGCTATGACATACAACTATCCACTGGGGCTTTGGGGAAAAAAATAAATAAATAAAATTTTAAAAAAAAAAAAAAAAGCTTCCCCTCACTTACTGAAGAAGCGAAGAGGAGTGAAGAAAAATATCTCTCACAGTCTCTGCTGTAGAAATTGTGACCTGAGTCGACATCGGGAGCAAAGACCACTTCTGAAGGACATACGATTTCCACTCATCCACGGGCAGATCCATGTTACTTTAGATCTATAAAACGAATAAGAAAATAAGGAATTCAATTTGTACAAATGCACAATTCTAGTCAAGATTTCATTTAAGCCAGCGTGAAGCAACAAAATCAATTCTCGTGGTCTTTTTCTATAGCTGTTTATATGCTGAGGAAGGATCTATATTCTCTCACACCAATTCACTCAACATCCTTTCATTCAGAAATATTTACCAAAAGCCTACTTTGTTCTAGGCACCACTAGGTGATCAGCTAGCCACGATCTGTCCTCTTAGCCCTCCATCTACCCTAGGCTCAAGTCAGAAACCTGGGAGACATCCCGATTTTCCTTTCTCACTCTGCCCGGCAACTATTAAGTAAATATTTCTCTCTCTTACATAGTTCGGTTTTTTCTTATCCCCAGGTCATTCCTTTAGTTCAAGCCCTCACTATCTCTTGTCTGGCATTCTTTCTAGAGTGTCATAACTAGTCTCCATGCCCTCAGTAACGCCCTCCCCCCATTCAATCCATCTTCCACAGTGAGGCAGATGTCAGTCCTTTGCCTTAAATTCATCAATAGCTCCTCCTAGCACAGGGAAGCCAAGTACAAATCCCTCATTATTTGACCCTTGCCTTACTTTTTTTTGTGAGGAAGATCAGCCCTGAGCTAACATCCATGCCAATCCTCCTCTTTTTGCTGAGGAAGACCAGCTCTGAGTTAACATCTATTCCCAATCCTCCTCCTTTTTTTTTCCCTTTTTCTCCCCAAAGCCCCAGTAGATAGTTGTATGTCATAGTTGCACATCCTTCTAGTTGCTGTATGTGGGATGTCACCTCAGCATGGCCACACAAGCAGTTCGTGGGTGCTCGCCAGGGATCCGAAACTGGGCCCACCAGTAGCAGAGCACCGGCACCTAACACGGGCCGGCCAGACCCTTGCCTTACTTTCTAATGCTCAAGTCTCACTTTTCCTCTGTATCCTACTATCCTGAGCTACTCAAAGCTATCCCCAGCTTGCCAGGCTGTTCATCTGCCTAGTTTTTGCATAAACTATTCATGCTTCCGGGAGCATCCCTACCCTCACTTGGAGTCCACCTGGCAAATTTCCACACATCTTTCAAGACTCAGTGCAAATGACACCTCCTCCGGGAAGCCTTCCCTGATTTTCCATCCGTGATCACAGCACACTGTGTCTCTCTCCTGGGGCCCATACCCCGTCTACCTTGAGTTACGGCTACTCACAGCGGAAACTCCTGGACAGACTGTGCTCTCTGAGAGCAGGGACCGGGTCTTATTTACCTTCAGAGCCCCCCACTGTGCCAAGCGCAGGGTCTGGCACCGGCGGGAGCTCAGCACCGGGCTGCTGAAGGAATCAAGTCACTGCTTCGACGACATTTAGCAGCAGAGTAATCAGGGAGCAGCACTAATTCTCTGGGCTACCTGTCGGTCTGCCCGCCAAAGACTGAGCCGGTCTGTTTCCGAAACCCGGCTCGGAAAGCTCCCGGAACTGGCCACCCGCGCGCTTCGTTGCGTCCGCGTCACCGTCCGCGCGCCCGGCGGCCTGGCGTCCCGCCCCCAGGCCCCGCCATCCTGCGACCAGGCCCCCAACCTGGGCACGGGCGGATCACCTAGGCCGCCCGCCGCGCCTCGGCCAATGAGAGGGCTGCTCGGCCCCTAGGCCCGCCCCTGCGCCGTGCGCACGCCGGGAGGCGGGAGCGGCGCACGCAGCGCCTCGGGCCAATTGCTTTGGAGCGTGGGGGGCCCGGGGCGTGAAGTGCGGGCTGCGCAGAAGCCGGAGCGCGGGAGTTGGCGCGTTGGAGCCATGGTGGGCTACCTGAGCGAGGGGGCCATTGCGGTGAGAAGACGGCCGCGAGCCGGGCCGGCGGGCTAGGGTGGCTCTGCGGGTGGAGAAGGGGGAGAGGAGCTGGGGGCCGTGGGGAGAGAACGCGAGAGGAGGAGAGAGAGGGCGCGGGAATGCGGGGGGGAACCGCCGGCTGACTCCCTGGAATCACACGGTTTTTCCTATCGTCTTGTAAACATGCTCATGTTTTTCCTGCTTAAGAAAACGAAGCAAAATAAACTGTTGATTTTCCATCTCCCTCCCGCGCCCTCTGTCTCCTCCCCTTCCCCCGCCCACGGCCAAACTTCTGCAGACTTGTCTGTTTTCAGCTATTTCATGTCGTCATCTCCCATTAACGCTTTAACCGACTCTAGTCGGTCCCTTCTAGGATCACATAGAAGTAACCTTGGCTGAAGGTAGCAGTCCCTCCAAGTCGCTAAATCCAATAGGCAGCTTTCGGTTTTCAGTTTACGAGCGTTCTCAGCAGCGTTTGAGTCTCTTGAGTATTCTTTCTTTCTGATAACACCCTCTACTGTTGGCTTTTGTGGCTCAGGTGGGCTGGTCTTTCCCAGTCTTATTTGCAGGTCCCTCTTTGTAAATTTCTGTTGACTCATGGCTGTTCTCTAGGCTCTATTCTCCCAGGACAACCTCATTACCATCCATATGTCAATTGCTCACTAATGTCTTTGTCCGGAGCCACCTTTACTCTGAAAGACAAACCTTTGTAATCTGTCTGCCTACCTGATATCTCAAAGGCATTTTAAATTCAACATGTCGCAAAGCAAATACATTATCTTCCTAAGTTTGGGCCTCTGATCCCCAGCTGGATGAATGGCACCATTATCTGTTAAGTTATGCTAGCCAGAAATTGTGGAATCATTCTTCCTACAAACTCCATCAGCCTGAGGTCCAGTCCATCACCAAGTCCGGTGTGTTTTACTGCATGTATCTCTTAAATCCATCTACTTCTCTCCATCGACATTGGCACCATCGTTTCTGGCCTGGACTACTCACTTCCATCCGGCATAATCATCCTCCTGCCATTCCCATCATAGCATATTCCCACTTGTTCTCTCCTCCTTTCCAGGCTTTTTTTTTTTATTTAAGTTCCTGGTATATTCCATACTCTTGCTTTCCACAGGGCCTTTGACCATTCTTTTCCCTCTGCCTACTGCCTAGGTGGCTCTTTAGTCTCCCTTCAGTGGCTAACATAATCTTCATATCTCAGCTAAGTTACTTCTCAGAGAAGCCTTCTTTGACTTCCCTTACTAGGCTAAATCCCTTTATTTTGAGACCCTAATTCCTGTTTGTTCACTTATTAGCTGTTATGATTTTGGGCAGGATACTAAACTCTGCCTTTCCTCTTCTGTAAAATGAGAATAATGATACCTAGTACCTCTTGCCTAAGGTTAGTGGGAGGATTAAGTGAGCACTTACATTTAAAGTGCTTAGTCCCTGTCTGATACAGAGTAAATGCTCAGTATATGTTGCCTATTATTAATAATCACAGATGTAATTTTACATTTATTTGTTTATTTGATTAATAACAGTTACTTTCTGTCTCCCCCCCCAATTGTAAATTCTTTGAGGCCTGAAATTATGCCTGTGGTTTTGCTCAACATAGTCTCTCCAGTACCTGGAGCAGTGCTGGCAAGTTTGAGGTGCCCAGTAAATGTTGTCTAGGTGCCTATGAGGCAGTGAAAAGAAAGGGGCAGAGATGGATGGGGAAGAACAGTTGGCAGAGTTGAGTGAATATTTGAGTAAATTAGGAATAATTAGTCCTGAGAAGTGATTGCGAATTGTAGTCCTCATTTACTTTACAGCTGCTACCTTATGTCTTGAAGACAAATTAGGAATTGTTCTTCACTTTTAAAAAGAAGGATCCTGGTGTTATTTAAATAATTTGATTAGTTTTTGCTATATTCAAAATTTTGGAAACATTTCCAGTGTTAGGTGAAGTATTACTTAGGTTTTATTTATAAATGACCAAGAAAATTTTTGTGTTTGTGGTGACGGAGTGTGGAGAACCCTTGTCAGTTTTGATTACCAGCTAAAGCAAGTAGTGTCATTTCAGTTCAAAAGACACAGGCCCGAAAGGATAAGCAACTAACACAAATAGTAGAGGCATTTGGGGCAAGAGCTAACATCATGAAATAAGAGATTATGCATGGAACTATTGTGGTAAATAGAATAAAGAGCATTTGTCTCGTAAGTAATCGGTAATATAAAGAAAGGGGAAGAGAACTAATTTTTGACCATTTCCAGTGTGCCAGATACTTTATAGTAGTCACTATTTACAGTAACACTGTAAGGTAGAATTTTATCATTACCCTCGTCTTACAGATGAAGAAATTAAAGTGCAAAGAAGGTAAATAATTTGTCAATGGGGTGAGGATTTGAACGCATGTGCCCTTGACTATTACATTCTTTTGCTTTGTATTTCTGTTAGCAATGTTAGTTTGGGAAAGTTAAGGCAGTTTTGTCTCAAGTGTACATATCATGCTATATGTCCTAGAAGAGTAAATCTTATATTCACTATTGATGACACAAATTAAAAAGAATAATAAAGTAATACTTGCATGCGGTTTTCAAATCAAATAGAACAGAAAGGTGTTTGATGAAGTTACTGACCCACTGCCCCACCTTGCCCCAGTTCTGTTCCCTAGAAACAACTACTTTTTAAAATCACGTTTATTGAAGTTCAGTTTGATTTACCTATAATAAAAACTATAATACATATGATGAATACATATAATAAAAACTCATCAAACTGTGTGCAGTTTGTTGTATATACTCCTGTAACCACACCACCCCAGTCTCCTGCTGCTTCCCCATCCCCTGCTCATTCTCAGGCACCACTGCTCTGGGTTCTGGTGTCTATCTCTTTAAGTTAGTTTTGACTGTTCTAAAACTTCATATAAATGGAATCAAATAATAGGTACCCTTTTGTGTCTGGCTTTCTCTCAGCAAAATGTTTTTTGAGGTTTATCCATGTTATTTCAGTGGTTTGCACCTTTTTAATGCTGAGTAGTATTCCATTGTATGAGAAAACACAATTTGTGTATTTCCCTATTGTTGTTGAACATTTGGGTTATTTTCATTTTTTGGCTATTATGAGTGAGGAGGCTATGAAGATTTATGTACAAGTCTTTTTGTGGAAATATGTTTTCATTCCTCTGGGATAAATACCTAGGAGTGTAATGGCTGGGTCATATGGTAACTGAATGTTTATCTTTATAAGAAATTGCCAAACTGTTTTCCAAAGTAGTTATGAGAGTTCTAGTCGCTCCAAATCCTCACCAACGCTTAGTTTTGTCAGTTTAACTATTCTAGTGAATGTGTAGTGGTATCTGACTGTGGTTTTAATTTGTATTTGGTAAAATTTTAAAAATTGGGTTGTGTTCCTATTAATTAGTTGTAAGAATTCTTTATTTAATCTGGATATGTCTTTTGTTAAATAACAAGCATTACATAAGTTTTCTCCCAATCTGAGGCTTGCCTTTTCATTCTTTTAATGGTGTTTTTTTGAAGAACAGTTTTAAATTTTGATGAAGTCCACTTTATTTTTTTTTTCCTTTTCTGAATCGTGTTTTTGTGTCCTAAGAAATCTTTGCCTACCCCAAGGTCACAAATCTTTTCTCCTGTGTTTTATTCTAGAAGTTTTATAGTTTTAGTTTGTATTCAGGTCTGTAAATCCATTTCAAGTTTATTTTTTTATGTATTGTGTATAGATCATTTTTTTCCCATGAAATATTCAGTTGTTCTAGCACCATGTGTTGTCAAGACTATAGTGTTCCGTTGAATAACATTGTTTGTTACCTTTGATAAAAATTAATCTATATATGTGTGGGTCTGTTTCTGGAATGTCTATTCTGCCACTGCTCTATATGTTGACGCTTAGACCAATACCGTATTGTCTTCATAACTGTAGTTTTATAGTAAGTCTTGAAATTGGATAGTGTAAATTCCCCAGCTTCATTCTTTTTCAAAATTGTTTTACTGAATCTAGGTTCTTTGTACTTTCATATACGTTTTAGAATTAGCTTGTCAGTTTCTGATAAAGAAAGCCTGATGGGATTTTGATTGATAGAACATTGTATTTATAAATCGATTTGGGGTCAATTGACGTCTTACAAACATTGAGTCTTTCAAACCATGGACTTGGTATATCTCTCATTTATTTAGGTTTTCTTTTTCTTTTTTTTTTTTTTTTGTTGAGGACGATCAGCCCTGAGCTAACATCCATGCCAATCCTCCTCTTTTTGCTGAGGAAGACCGGCTCTGAGCTAACATCTATTGCCAATCCTCCTCTTTTTCCCCAAAGCCCCAGTAGATAGTTGTATGTCGTAGTTGCACATCCTTCTAGTTGCTGTATGTGGGACGTGGCCTCAGCATGGCTGGAGAAGCGGTGCGTCGGTGCGCGCCCAGGATCCAAACCCTGGCTGCCAGCAGTGGAGTGCGTGCACTTAACCGCTACGCCACGGGGCTGGCCCCTATTTAGGTTTTCTTTAATTTCTCTCAGTGTTTTGTACTTTTCAGTGTGCAGGTCTTGTACATGTATTGTTAGACTAGGTATTTATTTTACTTTTGATGGTATTAAAATTTGGTTTTTTTTTTGCTGATAAAGATTACCTCTGAGCTAACATCTGTTGCCAGTCTTCCTCTTTTTATTTTTTGCTTGAAGAAGATTAGCACTGAGCTAACATCTGTGCCAATCTTCCTCCACTTTGTATGTGGGTGGATATATATCAGCATGGCTGATGAGTGGTGGAAGTCCACGGCCAGGATCTGAACCCACGAACCCAGGCTGCCGAAGCAGAGCGTGCCAAACTTAACCACTACGCCATGGGGCTGGCCCCTAAAATAGTATTTTTTTAAAGTTTCATTTTCCAGTTGTTTGTTGGTAGTATATAAAAATACAATTGATTTTTGCATATTAACCTGGTATCCTGCAAACTTGCTAAATTGACATAGTAGGTTTTTGTAGATTCCTTAGAATTTTCTATGTACGTGAT